GCGGGTAGTCCAGCTACTTGGGAGGCTGAGGCAAGAGAATCACTTGAGCCCAGGAGTTTGAAGTTGCTGTGAGCTATGACGCCCAATGCACTTTACCAAGGGTAACAAAGTGAGACTCTGTCTCAAAAAAAAGAAGTTGATTTCCCAAATCAATCCTCCCAAACTACTGGAGATGAGTATCTTTAGGGTGGGAGCTAAATTTACAAAACAATAAAAACAGGCTGATAAGAGTAAAAGGTCATCTAGGATCTAAACCTCACCAGACCAGTTATGTCCTGCTGGCCTTGGCCTGACTGACTTGTCTTTTTTTTCTTTTTTTGGGACAGAGTCTTACTGTTTCACCCTCAGTAGAGTGCTGTGATGTCACAGCTCACAGCAACCTCAAACTCATGGGCTAGAGTAATTCTCTTGCCTCAACCTCCAAGTAGCTGGGACTACAAGTGCCTACCACAATGCCCAGCTATTTTTTTGTTGTAGTTGTCCTTGTTGTGTAGCAGGTCCTGGCCAGGTTTGAACCTGATAGCCCCAGTGTATGCGGCCAATGTCGAGCCCTGACTTCATCTTATTCTCACTACATCTGCTCTCAGATTGAGCCCCAAGAGTTTGAGTTTGCTGTGAGCTATGATGATACCAGGGCACTCTACCCAGACTGAGACTCTCTCTCAAAAAAAAAAAAAAAAAGACAGAATCTCAACTCCTATGTCTTACAGAAAACCCTTCACCCTTCCTTCAGGCCTGATTCTGTGGCTCTTGCCTATAGTCTTAACACTGGAGGCCAAAGTATATTTCTTATTTCTTTTTTTAGACAGAGCCTCAAGCTGTCACCCTGGGTAGAGTGTCGTGGCATCATAGCTCACAGCAACCTCCAACTTCTGGGCTTAAGTGATTCTCTTGCCTCAGCCTACGGAGTAGCTGGGACTACAGGTGCCCACCACAACACTCAGCTATTTTTGTTGTTGTTGTTGTCATTGTTGTTTGGCAGGCCTGGATTCGAACCCGCCAGCTCTGGTGTATGTGATAGGCGCCTTAGCCACTTGAGCTACAGGCGCCGAGCCCCAAAGTGTATTTCATAAGCCCAGGAGTTTGAATCCATCGTTTCTGGGAAACAACTCAAAGGATTAAGTAGTTACTGAAGGGAGAGGATTATAAAAAACGTATATGAGTTCATGGAGCCAGTTATAAGACTAGAGATCTTTCTGTTGACTAGAAAACATTTTTGCTCTGGAAACATGTTTTGAACTAAATAAGTTCTCTTTCTAGGGTAATGGTTTACCACATGAACGTGTCTTTTTTTTTTTTTGCCAGAATTGTAGCCATGAGCTGTCCCTAAAACAGCTCATGGCTGAAATAAAACCCCTGGAATTTGCCTGGAATTTGAATTCCTCAGAATTATTCACACTGGGTTAATAATTAAGGTTTCCTCATACTGTCTACATTTGTTTGTTTCACCTGTGTACAGGATTCTGATTTCACAAAATCCTCCCAGCAGTATTATTTAACCTCCTGTCAAAGAAAGGTGTGTGTATTCCTGCAGCCCCAAGACAAGTCTCTACCAGCTTAGGAAGAGAAAAGGAGGGAGGCTGCCTGCAGAAACCCCAGAAACTGACCCTGCCCTAAGCCAAAACAGACAGGAGTGCTGCCAAGATAATCTTTGTATTTTTTTCTCACACCTTCTTCAAGTATCTATTGCCCTTAAGGGCCCAACAGCTATTGGTTGATTAATAGATTCTTCAGACCTAGGGCAGAGATTGGGAGGGAGGGTAATAAAATGTTTATATGTAAAACACCTTTTTTTTTTTTGGTAGAAAATGAGGTCTTGCCCGAGTGGTGGCTCACACCTGTAATCCCAGCAATCTAGGAGGCTGAGGCAGGTGGGTTGCCTGAGCACTCACGGCTTTAAGACCAGCCTGAGCAAGAGCAAGACCCTGTCTCTAAAAATAGCTGGGCATTGTGGCAGGCATCTATAGTCCCAGCTACTTGGGAAGGTGAGGCAAGAGGATCTCTTGAGCTCAAGAGTTTAAACTATGACACCAGCGCATTCTACTGAGGGCGACAAAGCAAGACTTTGTCTCAGAAAAAAAAAAAAAAAGAGGTATCACTGTGTTGCCTGGGCTGCAGAAAGGGGGTCTCACTATGTTGCCCAGGTTGTAGAAAAGAAATCAGCCTAAGTGGGAGGGAAACCCTGTTTCTACAAAAAATAGGGAAGAAAAATTAGTTGAGCATGGCGACTCACACCCGTAGTCCCAGCTACTCCAGAGGCTAAGGCAGGAGCATTGCTTGAGCCCAGAAATTTTTTTTTTTTTTTTGAGACAGCGCCTCAAGCTGTCCCCCTGGGTAGAGTGCCATGGCATCACAGCTCACAGCAACCTCCAACTCCTGGGCTCAAGCGAGTCTCCTGCCTCCGCCTCCCAAGTAGCTGGGACCACAGGCGCCCGCCACAACGCCTGGCTATTTTTTGGTTGCAGCCGTCATTGTTGTTTGGCGGTCCGGGCTGGGGATTCGAACCCGCCACCTTAGGTGTACATGGCTGGCGCCTTAGCCGGTTGAGCCATAGGCGCCGAGCCAAGCCCAGAAATTTGAAGTTGCAGTGAACTATGATCACGCCTTTGCACTCTCACCAAGACGACAGAATGAGACTCTATAGAAAGGACAAGGAAAAAAAGGAAAAGGAGAAAAAAACAATGCAAAAATTTGTATGGAAGCAAAAAAGATCCCAAATAGCTAAAGCAATCCTGAGAAAAAAGAACAAAGCTGGACATACCACACTATCTGACTTGAAGTTATACCACAAAGGAAAGCAATTTTTGGTGTCAGCTGCCATCTTAGTCCCTTGAGAAACACTTAGTAAAAAGGTTTGGCTAATAGACTTTCATTGACTGTCCTGTTTCATGCGGTAGGAGGTAGGCTGCATTTATTTGATTACTATTCGCACTCTGACTCTCCCCCAGTTTGCCTCCTACACACTCAGCGGGGCTCCTTCCGGAGCCTGGGTCTGTGGCTGCCAATCCTAACCCAGGTAAGCGCTCTGCTTTCTTTCCCTTCTCCTGCAAATCTCAAAGTAAAACTTTCTGGGCCCTATTGGCACTTTTTTTTTTTTTTAATTTTCCTTATCCCTGAAATGTGGACAATAGAAATTAGGATAATAATAAAAACCTGTCGATTACGGTTGCTGCGAAGGTTAAATAACATTATGTTTACCTGAAACTTGTTGGAGACTGCTGCAAAGAACTACACAAACAAGTTTTTATTGCCTTTATTTCTAAAGCGGATTTCAATTGTTAGAATAAGGGTGCTTCGGTGCTCTGCGCCTTGTCCCTCAGGGAGAGGATTAATGTGAGATGTTGCCAAGTGTTTCAGAACAAAAAGCCACTCTACTCCAGCGGGACGTCCACCCACCTTGCACAAAGCCCTTTGGAAAGAAGTCTTTTGATTTGAAAGCTGGAGGCGTGAGAAAACAAGTATGTAAGCGCTTGAGGCTCCTTGCCACCCCACAATCGCCTCCCTGCACCCTGTCCACCTCCACACACCTGGGGCGCTGCCGCCTGCCGCCCAGGGCGCCCGTATAACCACGGAGTTCGGAGTTCGGTGGAGCCCAGACCTCTCGCCAGGCCTGGGAAAGCCCAGACTTGGGGGGCCTTGCAGGTTTTCTCACTTTACAAGATTGGTTTTGCATTGACCAAAAATTCTAATACACCCACCTCCCAGCAATCTCTTTGGGGTGACTCTGTCCTAGGAAGGCCAGGGAAGTAAGTGATGTGTAATGAAAATGACAGATTCACGGTTGTGTAAGGAATAGGTTTATTTTTTGGAACAACTCTAGGTGTCCTGTGGTGAGGGAACCCGAAGTCCATTTCTCCAGCCATTTCAGAACTGCACGTCCTGCCAGGTCACCCAAGAAAATGCCAGCGCCAAAGGAAGCAAGGTTGGTAGGGAATGGAGACCTGCTGAGGCTCGGCTGCCAGACCCGGGGTCCCTTACCGGCCCTTCGGACGCCTCAGTTTTCACGTATGGAAAACGGGCACATTACCAGCCATTTTCCCTCGCCAAGAGAGAGGGGTTGGAATGTTTCGGTTTCAGCCCCGCTGCAGAAACCACACGAGAAAAACAGGAGTTTCTTTTATCATTAATTCAAAGAAACAAAACGCTAAAAGCGTGAATCCTGTGGGCAAATGCCCAGTAAGCGGGGAGCAGGCTCGGAGGATGACTAGAGGAAGGACAGATTGGACAGGGCTTACAGGGCATATGATTGTAAATGTGCACTGTGCACATATGCAAAACTGCGTACAGTGCGAAGACAAACGGGGTGTGTGTCACGCGGGTTACAAGATCTAAGAAGACGGAATCTCCCAGTTTAAGTCCCGACTGTCAGGAGTGCCCCTCTTCTGCGCTTGCGCAAGAGTCGCTTTTTCCCCACCCTCGAGCCCCGCCCCCGAACTCGCCCCGCGCCGCGCCGCCCGCCCGCTTCCCCTCCCCTTCCCCTGCGCGGCCGCTTGCGCACAGCATTGTGGGACACAAACAAAGTGCCCCCAAACAGGCTGGAGTGAGCGGAGCGGCAACGGCGGCGGCGCCGGCCCGCACGCGCGCGGCGGCGGCTCCCTCCCAACCTCCCCCTCCCCTCCCCTCACTCCCCTTCCCCTTCCCCACCCCGCCCCGCCGGGAAACCGCGAGCCGTCGCCGCGCTCCCCAAATCGCTGCCTGCCCTCGGCCAACCGTTCCCAGCGGCCGCCCGCGCGCGGCTCCCGGGCCCCCTCGCTCCTCCCCTCAGGCCCCTGCGAGCGCCGGGGGGGTGCCTTCCTCCCCGCAGCTTCGCACTTTCCCACCTCGCAGGCACGCCGGTGGGCTGTGCCGCCATGCCCCAGCCGCAGGCTGCTCACGGGCCTAGGCGCGGCGGCCCGAGATAGGGTCTCCTGAGCCTCCCGGGGGAGGAGAGGGAGCGAGCCGCGCGC